CCTCGCGCGAGGCCTCGAACATCTCGCAGACCTGGCGATTGGCAGTCGATCATGGTGCGGTTGCGCGAGATCACGAGACCGACGGGGGCGGCCTCGAACGCCAGCCTGTAATCTATATCCATGGGCAAATCTTTACGAAAAACTACCTATGCAAGTACGTAGTATCGTAGCGCATCCAATCTGAAGGAGACATGTGTGAAAAAGCTCTACCCCTCTGCGGAGCAGGCGCTCCAGGGCGTCGTGGCCGACGGGCAATTGCTGGCTGTGGGAGGCTTCGGCCTGTGCGGCATTCCCGAGGCCCTGATCGACGCGCTGCGTGACAGCGGCGTCAAGGGCCTGACGGTGATTTCCAACAATGCGGGCGTGGACGGCTTTGGCCTGGGCAAGCTGCTGGAGACGCGCCAGATCAAGAAGATGATCTCGTCGTTATGTGGGCGAGAACAAGGAGTTCGAGCGCCAGTACCTGGCCGGCGAGCTGGAGCTGGAATTCACGCCCCAGGGCACGCTGGCCGAGAAGCTGCGCGCAGGCGGCGCCGGCATTCCCGCCTTCTTCACCAAGACCGGCGTGGGCACCATGGTGGCCGAGGGCAAGGAGCTGCGCGAGTTCGACGGCGAGACCTATGTGATGGAGCGCTCGCTTGTGCCCGATGTCTCCCTGGTCAAGGCCCACCGTGCCGACAAGAGCGGCAACCTGCAGTTCCGCCTGACGGCGCGCAACTTCAACCCTGCCGCCGCCACGGCCGGCAAGGTCTGCATCGTGGAAGTGGAGGAGGTGGTCGAGGTCGGCGAGATCGCACCGGACGACATCCACCTGCCCGGCATCTACGTGCACCGCATCGTGCACAACCCGAACCCCGAAAAGCGCATCGAAAAGCGCACCATCACAGAAAAACAAGGAGCCTGACCATGCCGTGGACCCAAGACCAGATGGCCGCCCGCGCGGCCCAAGAACTCGAAGACGGCTTCTACGTCAACCTGGGCATCGGCATTCCCACCCTGGTGGCCAACCACACGGGTGACAAGGAAGTGTGGCTGCAGTCGGAGAACGGCATGCTGGGCATCGGCCCCTTCCCGACCGAGGATGCCGTGGACGCCGACCTGATCAACGCCGGCAAGCAGACCGTGACGACGATTGCCGGCTCGTCCATCTTCGGCAGCGACCAGTCGTTCGCCATGATCCGCGGCGGCAAGATCAACCTGTCCATCCTGGGCGCCATGCAGGTTTCCGAGAAGGGCGACCTGGCCAACTGGATGATCCCCGGCAAGATGGTCAAGGGCATGGGCGGCGCCATGGACCTGGTGGCGGGCGTCAAGCGCGTCATCGTGCTCATGGAGCATGTGGCAAAGAAGAAGGACGGCACGACCGACCTCAAAATTCTTCCCGCCTGCACTCTGCCTTTGACCGGCGTGGGCGTGGTGGACCGTATCATCACCGACCTGGGAGTGATGGACGTGACGCCGCAGGGCCTGAAGCTCGTGGAACTGGCCCCCGAAGTGAGCTTCGAGGACATCCAGTCCAAGACCGGCGTGACGCTGATTCGCTGATGTTGCCGTGCTGTGCAGTGCCTGCCTGGTGCAGGCCTGCGCGACGAGAGCCCGCCTTGCGCGGGCTCTTTTGCTTATATTTCAGATTTCGAGCCAATGGGAGCCTCTATGACGGATGTCGCGGCCGTGCGCAATCCACCGACAGCGCAGGGATGGAAGGACGAGGGCGTGCATTTCCTGCGCGCCGTCACCGACATGGCCGAGCATTGCAACGTGGTGACCGGCGAGCCCATCTTCAACGACAAGGGCGTCAAGCTCGTGGACAAGGGCGCGCGCATCGACAGCAACATGTACGAGCGCCTGGTCAAGCACAAGCTGCGCGACCCCATCGACAAGCATTTGGGCGTGGACAACCGCGTGGACGTGCTGGCCATCGAGGCCCAGGCCATGGTGCAGTGCGAGACCGTGGACCTGATGCGCCGCCTGGTGCAGTCGCTGGGCGGCACGGACCGGCTGCTGGCGCCGCTGCGCCTGATGGTGCTGCCGCCGCAGATCGCCTTCAAGCTCACGGTCATGCGCGAGCAGCGCCCCGAGCTGTTCGCCCACAGCCTGCAGATGATGCTGGTGGCCGTCTACCTGGCGCTGCAAAGCGAATGGAGCGAGCGTGAATGCGGCCCGCTGGCCACGGCGGCCCTGCTGCACGATGTGGGCATGCTCTACATGGACCCGGCCTGGACCGACCCCAACTACCGGCTCACGGGCGCCGAGCGCAAGCACCTGGTGGCGCACTCGGTCACGGGCATGCTCATCATGCGGGGCGCGGGCGCGTATTCGCAGGACGTGGAAATGGCCGTGCTCGAGCACCACGAGCGCATGGACGGCACGGGCTATCCGCGCGGCGTGCATGGCGAAGCCATCTCCAAAATGGGCCGTATCCTGTTGCTGGCCGAGGTGGTCTCGGCCTTCTTCGACAAATTCCAGGACCTGCCCGGCCAGCGCCTGTCGCTGATGCTGCGCATGAATCACCGCCGCTATCCGGCCGATCTGGTCGGCATCCTGCTGCCGCTGCTGTACGACGAGATCTCGCCGGGCACGCCGCTGCCGCCGCTGCAGGCCGAGGTCACGCACAGCGTGGCAGCGCTGTCGGCCGCCTTCCAGATGTGGGACACGTTCAGCCAGGCCTTTCCCGAGCGCTGGCAGGCCATGCCCGACCACCAGGCGGCCGTCTACATCGACTCCAGCATCGGCAGCCTGCAAAAGCAGCTGGCCGAGGCCGGCCTGCACCCGAACCAGCAGACCGACCTGCTGGCCTACCTCAAGGACGACGTGCAGGGCATGAGCGAGCTGGCCCTGCTCAGCCGCGAGGCGCTGTGGCAGCTGCAGGCCATCGTCAACGCCTGCCTGCGCCGCTGGCCCGCCATCAACGCCCGCACCCACGCCGTGGACACGGCGGTCGCGCAATGGTGCGAAGCCTGCATGCAGATCGACGCCACGCCG